ATTCACTAGGTGAAGATGGTACAAGACCATGACAAATTGGTCCACCCAAGGACATTCAAAGTTGGTGACCTCGTACTTGTGCTCAAAAGGCCTATTCTTGCAAACCGCAAAATAGGTGGAAAATTTGAGCAAACTTGGGAGGGACCATTCGTCGTTGAAAAGGTCTATACAGGAGGAGCCTACCAGTTAGTGGACTTACAAGGCGAAAGACCCATGTTACTAATAAATGGTGAGAACCTATTACACAACCTGATGCCGCTTGCCTTCACTTGCTTTGAAACTTTGAAACTTTGATATTTTTTGGGGTTATCTATGAGGCCAAATGTCTATGACCGGGTCCAAATTTCGTAACTAACCTCAATATAATGAAAATTTTGAGAAAAATTTTTAAACTTCAAATTTTCTCCTTTCCACTTTTGAGTATAATGTTCCACAAAAATTTAAACAAAATTCATACATAAATAAACAATTCATTTCACTAAAATAAGCTAAAATTCACTTCAATAAATACTTTTTTTTGTTCTTGTTCATGCCAAGTTTATACCAACTGACATTTTTCATGTCGTCTGCAAAAGAACGTCGGGACAGTGGCTGATCTTTGCTTTCACGGATGGTTGGAGCCTCGCACTAAATGAGGAGATGGTGCAGCAAGGCGGTACCATAGACTTCAATATAAATTTTAACCCAATTGACATGGACTACGAAGGTCCTCTCATGAATGTAAGCTGCAGAGATAAAGAGGTATTGCCTTCATTGCTGAGGGTGACCGCCAAAGATAATGCATCACACAAAGACAAGAACATGTTAACAGAGAAAGATCCAATGGAAAGGCCCAGTCGTCTGCCCTCCATTGTAGTTACACCGGCTGGAGGCTTAGTAGTCGCTAATAACGAAAGACTGTCAGCTGCTTTGCTTCGAAGGATGCAACGTAGGAACGACAACCGCAAAAAGCAGAGGGCTTTTCTACGAGAAGAACACAAACGTCAAAGATAGACAAACAACTTACTCACCCCCATTCCTGAGGGGCATATTTATGATCCAGACATGAAAGAAGCTTCTGCCAGCCTACCCACCACAAATGAAGAACCGGGGTTCATCACAGAGCCAGAGACACCTTCAGCTTCAGATGTTTTATGCAAGTGTTGCCCGATGTGCAACGCTGAAATACCTGTAGGGACATCAGCCACATAGGCATTTGTAGAATGCCTGGATTGCAATGTCCTATGTTTACAACGCTTTAGTACATTGGAATAGTATACCTCAAACACCAATGGGTCTCAAACTTTAGATTTTATGATGGATGAGCCATATGCCCCACTGGGGACAGATCAGTATACACCATGGAGCCTAGGGTCGTACATCCCGCTAGATGTCGAGTCTCGTGTTCCAGATCAGCCAGCGCCAAAACCAAAAACAAAACTAAAACTAAAATCAACCAAGATAAAATTCACCGCCACAACATTCAAAATATAAAACAACTAAAAATTTAATCACAAATATCACACAAAACTACAATTGCAACTAAATTAAGATGTCTCTTTCGGAGGATCGGGAATCCCTCAGAGGAGGTAATCTACCGTTGCTAACGGGGCCTCCCATGGG